GCATTTTTATTGTTGCCTAACCCCCAACCTGAGGGATCGGTTTAATTCCTCTCTAAATATAGAGAGCTAGGCAAGATACTCTCGGTGGGTTGCCATCCCCTGCTTCCGAGAGGTGACGATCGAATAAAAATCTGACAATTTTTAGTCGAATCCTCCGGTTCACTATAGACTAGCTCACATCTGTCTGCACCACGATCGCCACTAGTCCTAAAGTCCTAAAGACATCTTATGTCCCAATTTTAGACATGGTGCTGTCTGGGCAGTTATACGTAATCTAATCAAATATCTATATTTTGTGACATGCCATGGCTACAACGATTATTTTTATTATATGTCTCTCCATTAATTTTCAGTGTTAGAAATTTAGAAGAAGCTCCGCAGGGAAAAAACGTATACATGTGTCACGTGTGTCTGTGACGGAAGCAGAACCAAACTCATCGGGATGACTCGCGCGCGTCGAGATCTCATCTCGGAGCGGCCGCGAGCGCGATGACAGCATCCGGCGATGACGTCATACAACGGCGGCGGCGGTAGCGGTGGCGGTGGCGGTGGCGGCCGCAGTTGCGATGATCGTGTACGATGACGTCGACGATGATCGCAAATCGGCGACGGCGGCGGCGGCGGCGACGGCAGCAACCGCAGCAGCAGCTGGAGGAAGGAGTTGGTGCCCCGAGCCGAGCCGGCAGGAATGGACGGTGCACCGTTTCGTCGTGGGGCCCAGTTCCTTCCAGATCGCCGTGTCGTCGACTTCTTTCGCATTCTCGCGGATCCTCCACCTGGGCTCTCGACGCGGCGTGGCGATTTCGTACACCGCGGCCAGGCCGGTCGTCGATCCGCGACGGACGCCGCGCGCTGCGCCGCACCGCACCAGCCGGACGCCGCCGTCGCCGTCGCCGTCGGCACGGCCACATGACAGTGACCCACATACCGCGGTTCCGGTATGCCGCGTTACGGTTTACGGTCCGCGATATACGGTATTACGGTCCGCGATATACGGTAATCCCGACGTCGAATCCGACGTTCGGTAAACCGAACGAATTATGCGAGCGGAGCTCTCGATGAGAAATAACGTTTAGATATATCAGCCGTGATCGGGAACGGGTCGACGACAGTTAGCGTTAAGTGCGCGGTATGGATTTTCGATAGCCATTTCGCACCGTGGACACTTTTGGTACCGTACTCCGTTCAACGGT